TCCCCTACACGCTCCCAGTGCCTGGCAGTTCTGCCGCTCAGCTCCGACGCAGCGAACTGTGCTGTGTCCCCTCCACTGGTCACTGGCATGGCATGGGGTGGGACAGGAGCAGGTCCTGGACACCACAGGGGGTCATCATCCTGATTAGAAGCACTAAATATTAAAAAGCACTTGAATTTAAAAAAAGGAAAAAAGATAAGCCATAAAAAAAAAAGTTTGCAACATCGGTGCCCTTATGCCTTCACTGCCACTGGTTGCACATAGAGAAGGAGCACCCCAGGTGCCAGTCCCCAGTGTCCCCCTCCTCCACTCTGCCCTGCCCTGCTCCTGCCTTGCACGTTCGTCCCCACTGCAAACTGGGTTCTGCCTAGCAGTGCCAATGCTATTGCTGCTGCCATGACAATCAGTTTTGGACCAGACCTGGCACGATGCCACATCTTCCAGCCTGTCCATGCTCACTCCCCTCCACTCAGGACCGGGAGCACTTCCGAGCAATGGTGGGGATGAAAGGAGAGGTCGTTCTCTGCCCTGACGTCCCACTGCTGGCGGCAGCACAGCGGGATCCTGGCCTTCATCAGCAACACCAAGGGCTGGTCTCTCCCTGTCCAGCACCAAACGTGTGTTTCCCTTCTCCCTACACTTCCTCTCCTGTTCTTTTTTTTTTATTTATTAAAAAAAAAAAGAAACTGTTCCTAAGCAGAAAACATCTGCAATCACAAGTCAGTCTTTTTGGCTATTGTTTTTCTTCCTCCTTCTCTTCTCTTCAAATGACTTCTCACAAGGCAACAGGCACAGGTGGCTTTGCTGCACGGCCCCCTCCCTTCCCTTGCCTGCCCCTTGTGCCCCTGCCTGTCCCCAAGGGCCCCTAGTCCTTGACCAACTTGTACACGTGGTGCTGGGCGCCATGTTCACTGGTGGAGACCTCAAAAACGAAGGCAATGCAGAGCAAGGTTTCCTGGGTATCCCTGTTCGTAACAACCTGCAGCAGAGCAGAGCATGTTAGGGGGTTGCCGTGGCCATGGGCAGATGTCGTTATTCAGAGGGTTGCATGGGCTCAGGCACAGGCATTTTGTGCCACGAAAAATTTGCTACCCATTATTTGAGGGACTGCACAGGCACTGGCACAGCCAATTTAACTGCACCATCAAGATTTACTACCCAGTTTTGGGGGGCTGCACAGGTTCAGGAATAACCTGAATTGCACAACCAAAAATTGGCAACCAGTTGCTTGGTGGGGAGGGGAGTTTACACGGGCTCAGGCACAGTCACTGCATTTACACCATCAAAAACTGCAGCCCATTATTTGGGGAAGTCGAACAGGCTCAGGCACAGCCAATTTAATCGCACCGTGAAAAATTTGCTCCCCATTCTCTGGGGGACTTGCCCAGGCTTGGGCACAGCCACTTCGTTTGCACCATCAAGATCTGCTCCCTGGAATTCAGGGACTGTGTGGGCTCAGGCACAGCCAGTGTATCTGTGCTGCTGGGGCACATGCCCAGGGCTGGCAGGGTTGATGCAAGAGTGGGCTCCACACTTCTGGTGGGAAACACTCCCTGGAAAAGGAGGAGCAGTACCTGCAGGATGGTGAAATTCTCCAGGACACTGTTCATCATGTACTTCTCCGGGAGGTGCTTGAGTTTGTGGATGAAGTTGATCATGTACTCGCACATGGGAGACCGGTGGATGCGATAGATGAACCGGCCGTTCTCCAGGCGTGCATACTCCGTCTGCAGGGGACAGCCAGGGTGAGCAGCTGTCTCATGGGATGTGGGCATGGAGATGTCCTCGTTGCTCCACCCATGGACAGGCATGCACCCATGTATTCTACACACAGCTCTGGGGCTTTCTCCGTCCTGGAACCTGCTGTGGACCAACTTCCACCCCTTCCCGACACAGTGGGGCATGAAACTCACCTCCACCTTCTCCACAACCTGCTTCCCAAAGGAGCAGACCTTGGTGGAGACTGTGATGGTCATGTTCTCTGCACTGCTGTACTGGCTGCTGACACCATAGAAGGTCCCTGGCCCGTCCTGGATCGTGCTGTTGAGATCCGCCTGGAGCAATGAGAGGGGGACAGGGTCCCAGTTAGGCACCACCACACCCAGTTCTCAATGGAGACAGGGGACACCGGCTTTTGGAGCTGCTGAGTATGCTCTCACTCTGCCAGCAGGGTGCCCAACCTGCAATGAGCCTGTGGCTCAAGGACAACCCTCCTGATCCCAGCATCGTACCCAAAATTTGACGAGAAAGAAAGAGTTCTGAGGCCCACGCTCATAGAGCTCCTTGAGGCCACCTTTCTTCTCAGGGAACTTGTCGTAGATCTGGCGGATGTCCACAGCCTCTAGCAGTGGGTCGCTGTATGAGGGGTTTGTCTGGCCGATGTGCACGAAGAGGTGTTTGCTGTACTGTAGGGACCGGGGTGGGGATGTTAGAACTAGAGGTCATGCGAAAGCAAGATGCCACCAGGCACAGGGATGGGCACCATGCCACACAGATGGTGGAGACACGGACGGGAGTGTTACCGTTTCGGCATCCCGCGGCACCTCCATGAAGGCAGAGTACTCCAGGAGCCGGAGCTTGGCAGAGGCGATGGTGCGATCCTGCCAGACGGGCACGGCCGAGGCAGCTGGTGGGAGAGGAGCCAAGGGCTCATAACCTGGGGCAGGAGGAATGATATGGGGATGGGGGGGCAGCCGTGAACTGGGGTGAGTTCCTCTGCAACACGTGGTGCTGCTGTCTTCCCTGCATTCCCCACTCTCCCGTATCTCCCAGCATAGAGGTTTTCCCACAGGATGGCCAAAACATGGGATGTGCCAGTCCCACTCCTGGGTGGCAAGGGACTGGAGGGGACCCAGATGGGAGCAGCAGGGTCCTGCTCACTGCAGGACTCTTTCTGCCAGGTTTAAACCCAGGCTCTTCACCCAGCAAGGCTGGGAAGGAGACACACGTGGGAGGCACCATGGGTGGGAGGGGACAGGACAAATACGACCTAGCAGGGGTGCACAGTCCCCTGCAAGGGGGCAAAGACATGACTTACTGGCTAGTGATGGAGGCATGGGTGGCTGGATGGGGTAAGCTGGTTGTGCAAACGGTTTAATGCTGGAAAGCAAAGAGCAACATCAAGTTACGAAGGCTGGGATGCCCCAGCCCCTTGCCAAGGGGGTTTCCTGCCTGGTGCCGGGTAGGGAAGGGGTCTCATACTTACTCCTGAGAGGGTCCAGGCTGTCCTGGGATAGGCCCACTCCAAAACTGGGGAAACAGCACAGGGAAAAGTCAGCAGATTCTGATGCCCCACTCTGAATTCCCCTCCTCACCTGCTGCAAAGAGTAGGGAGCACCCAAAATCCGCCTGCATTGCCACCACGGCTGAGGATGGCTGCCAATCATCACCCTGTCCTCTGTGCGGACCATGCACAGGGATCTGTCTCTCTCCCACCCCAGGGTGTTCCCATAATGGGGGGGCGTTGGTCTGTCTCCTCACCCGGGGGGCAGCAGAGAAGACAGCCTGAGGAAGAGGAGGAGGGGGACTGAGCTTGTTCTGCAGGACGCTGGCCGACACAATCTGCGCTGAGGACATGGAAGCCATGCTTTGCAGAGCCTTATCCTTCGAGACCTGGTCCTGGGAGGAAATGGGGGGACAGGAGGAAAATGGGGGTTACAGGGGCAGAGTGAGCTGCCCAAATCCCAGTGTGCCTGGCAGGTTTTGCAAAGCTAGGAGTCAGTCCTGCAGCCTGGCTAAGGGACCGGGGCAGAGGGATGTCCCCTGCCACGCTCTCAAATGCACCCATGTTAATTAATGTTTGAAGCTTCCAAATGTCCCCTGGGCAAGGGCTGATGGGTTCAGAAGGTGTCCCATCCCTGTCCCCCATTTCTTCCCTGTGGTGTTCCCCCTCCCCTGGGGACGTGAAAGGTTTAGCCCCTTCGTGGGAGAGGACGAAAGGCAATGGGAAATTTCATATTCAAGCTCAACTTACCAAGTTCATGGCCTGTCCGCAAAAGAAAGGAAAAAAAAATGGTTAGAGAACTGTGGGAGCCTGTGCACCTCCCCATAAGTTAGGTATTCTCCCACTTTAGCTCATCACTGCAGCCTGATTTGTGAAGCTAATCCCTCGACCTGGCTGGTCACCAGGGAATGCATATGGTTGCCATTGATGCTTGGGCTCAATCCCACCAGGAATGGGAGGCCAAAGTCCCCCACTATTTTAAGGGGTCTCTGTGGTGAGCCAGGCCTGTCCTTTCTTGGATTTTTCGTATCCTCTGCAGCCTCCTCAGAGGTACACAAAACTTGCAGCCAGGGCACAGAGAGGGAAGAGCCGCTGGCTCCTGCCCTACCTGGCAAAGGGCACCTGCATCTGGCTGCCCCAGAACACTGGCACCAACTCCCATATAAGCACTTCAAGGAAGACCCTGAGCACAACCCCCCTGTGCCATTTACATAGAACAGCAATTATTTTTCCTTTTCCTGTTTTCTCCAGAGGGGATAGCACCACTAGGCAGGAGTGGAGGGCGCAAGGGCTCCCAGGTCATGCCTTAGGCAGGGTTACTCTTCCACTTGCATTGCCAGGACACAGCACACACTGGTCCCAGTGCACACCCTCTGTTTTCCCTCAGAACCTTCCCCAGGGATCAATGCTGCATTTGTGTTCACCTGGGGCAGGGCAGGAGCACAGGCATGCAGCCACACGCAGGGGTCATGAACACACACATGATGCAGCTCAAAAATACAGATACTGCTGATGGAGGGGAGTTTCCATCCCACAGGACAGTGCTGGGTGAGGGCAGAGGGCTGCCTGCACCAATCTTGGGAAAGGATGATTTGCACTCCCAGTGTATTTCTCAGGGAGGATCTCTGCCCTGGCTGTTCCCTGTTGGAATCCTGTGGGCAGCATGGCTGGGGATGGAGCATGCAGACATGGACACAGGCCTCTCCCCTTGGACCCCT